CCAAATGGCAGATCTTGCATTAACTTGTATGGAATACGAATTCATAAAGAGGCTAATAAGGACACAAACCCATGTCAATACATTATATAATTTTACATATAGATACATAGATGACATATTACACGTTTCTAACGATGCATCATCGAACGAAGTTTACAAGAAATATATCCTTCAACTTTAGAGATAGATAAAACCAACGTCAGCCTGACTGAAACGAATTTTCTTGACTTGAACATGATAGTTTGCGAAAGCAAGATCAAGTTTAGTATGTACAATAAAACAGATGAGTACAATTTCAAAGTCAATAGATATCCACAGTGGGGATCTAATATACCACGATACATATTGTTCAATACTTGCGCTACAGAATTACTTAGAATATACAGGAATTGCTCAGATTACATACAATTCAAAGAAAGAATAATAGAACTAGGCATGACGTCTTAGAATAATGGATGAGATTATCACATTTTTATGAATAGACTTTACCACATTTTTATCGATAGACCATTTATAATGCGCAAATATGGATTTGCTACAACTATACATTTTCTCTTTTACATGAACTGCACCAAGCATGGGATGCCCCTAACGCGCTCTGAGGTCACGGCGGGATGACACTCATTCAAATATGAGGTTGCAATCAATCGCCATGCCATTCGTGGTTATTTGATTTTACTTTCGTTGTGTCTTGATTTGTTTCTAAGCTTTATGCCTTTCATTCCGCTAAGATTCTGTGGACCTCTCTTTCCATTTTTGAAGCTTTCTTGGGAACTACTGATGAGGGGCACCTAGGAAGCTGCACTACCGGTATAGTTCTTAGCCCCGAAACCGAATAGTGTAAAAAACAAATGCAAAAATTATCGCGAAATTTTGTATCTTGACAATTACATTCTAATTCTTAATTCTAACTTCACATTTGTTCATAATACACGATTGTTAATTTGTATCTACTATGTGACGACCAATCGGAACTCGATTTCTCCAGGCAAAAACCGACTTATACTTTGGTTTTACGTGGATTCATGATTGGCAGATTTTTGCAGTCATCTTTTAGTGATCGCCCTTTACCAAATGGTGTTCTACAGGCACTTCTAATTGCACACACTAAGATTATTTTGCACCAATACGCAAGCCATCCCAAATCTTATCTCCTTCGTTGTGCTGAATAGTAAACCACTATGAACTTTTGAGGCTTTGACCAATTTATCTCGCATTTTCCCTATCTCTTCTTGTCCAATTTTTCGCTGTAAGTTAGTCAAAGGCACTATTTCTAAAAAAAGGGCAAATGGTAGAGTCAATTCTTTTATGTTAAAGGCACTTCCCTTTGAAAATCACCTCTTGCCTCATCATCGGTTAATGTGTACGAGGCGAAAATACATTTGCAGCTGCATCCACACGACAGTTGTACAGCTTAATCTCCTTCTTTTGAATCTCTAATGTTTTCTAAGATCTTACGCATAAATAGTAAGGATAAAGGAAAAGAGTGTTTCATTTTACGAATTTTCATTTAGAGGCATATTTTTCCCGTTAGATTATATTCTAAAATAGCTTACGATTCTCTGTTGAAATATGCTGAAATATTCAACACCAGTACCCCGAATGATGTCTTTCAGATTAACCTAAAAAGGAGGTGTTCCGTATAAAAAATACTCACAGTCTCTTTTTTCATTACCAGTTATCTGCGACAGCAAGAGAAATCTTCTAAATCTTGTACTAATCATTTGCAGAGTCTTCTTTTAAACCTAAAACTGCACTCGAGTTTAACGCAATTTGCACTGCATGAAGCGTCATGCTCAATTCACACATCCGCTGATTTTCGCAGTCGGCTTCGATTGTCGGGAACCGCCATACGATGGGATGCTAAATCCACATAATGGGGATGTGACCAAAAAATGCCTTCAATAATTTTGCTTTTCAATGCAAAAAGAGGAATATAAGTAGTGCTGTCTATCCTCGTAAGAGTACCAGAAATTTTTCATACGATTGTAAGTTCAATCTTATCTTCTAAAAATACCCATTTCTTACCAAAGCTTCAAATTTTAACTCTAACGCACATACATCTGGAGAAAATCTTGGCGAATGTAACGCCATTCACTGCAATACCATCGCATGACCTTTTCGACGTTTTTAGCCTTGCTTTGGATTGCTGCTTACGGTAAAGTAACTGCAAAATAAGCTTGCTCCGTAATAATATTTTAAACTTTGGTGTGATTCCATTATCGGGTGTTAGTGAATGCGGATCAAAAAGGGTGTACGCGAAGCGCCATAAACCAGCATCTAAGTTAAGTTACTCAATATCCGGCTTATATCCTGCCCTTGCTTGACAGTCCAAGTTTTTAAATTATCACATGTCTCAACGTTATGTGCATATCACACATTGACTCCGTAGAAGAGACCTCTGCAAAAAAATAACTCTCTCCGCATGCACTGAGAAGAAACTGTTCTTTGGTATGCTAGTTCAACCTTCAGAAGCAGGATGTAAAACTGCAATAAATGGCACAAGTTCAAAAGCTTCATATTCAAAATTACGACACTTTCATGTCAGTGGGTATACATTGTCTGCGTTATTATTGTGCGATTTCGACAGCACTGGATGCTGGATAGCAGTGCCGTACCCAGGATTTACGTTCAGGGGAAAGGGGTCCAGCAAAAAGCAAATTTTTGAGAGGCTAATCTGAAAATTTTTAAGAATTGTTTCGATTATTTGCACGTAAAACAGGTCGTTTGCACATTTTACAACGCACTTGAATAACTTTCAAAACCATCTTGACCCATTCCCCGGAGGGGTGGGGGGAGGGAAGCTCCTCCCTCATCGGTACGCTACTGCTGGATAGTACAGTCAGCTGGTTATTGGCTTGCTAAAGTGCTTTGAAACTTGTATGTGTCTTTATAAAAACGAAAGAGGGAACAACGTAGCGTTTTTTCTGGCATAGACACATACATACAATTTGGAAGAAGTCGATCTACTGTTGCTGTGGGTGCACTTGTTAATTTGAATTTGCACCCCAGCATCAGGGCGAAATTTTAGATCGAATAACAGTAAGAACCACACAGCTTATTTTATCTGAGGTGAGTGTGGAACTGATTTCTACCCTTGAGTCCGAATTGAATAAATATTCGATCGTTCGAATAAAGCACTCAAATATAATCTCATTCGAAATTCGATATTCGGGTTTCTCCATTTTCGAATAAAATTCGAAGTTCGAATGATCAAAAACGAGGTTGCGAATAAAATTCGAAGATTCTAATCAATAAATGGGGTTTCGAATGAAACTTGAGTACTCGAATAATCAGAAAACGAAGTTTCCAATAGATTTAATGCGAAAGTTTCAAATGTTTCATACAAATTCGTATTCGAATGAAATCGTATCAAGTTATGCGAGTTTGTTGCAGAGCCAGCTGCTGAGCATCAAGCTCGCTTTGTTTGCTTTGTTTTCTGCAAAACTCGATAATGCATCTTTTTGCAGCCATTATCAGCTTTGAACTGTACAAAAACTCGCATCCTCCAACTTCTTGCGATAGTATAGATGTGGATTTTAATTGATTGTTTCTTCTATCAATTAATAAGATAGTGCGCAGTGCCACTGACGCCAAATCAGCAAAAAACAGCTATCAAGTTCAAACTCATGGTCCGAGTTTATATACTGGAAGTGTGTTGACATGTCTTTTTCTATTGCCTTGCTCGCTTATGCTTTTGTACCGCAAAGGTCCATACTAATGGGCACTCTTGCTTGTAAAACTCATGTTGCACTACTGCCTTTATTCTTTATTTCAAAGCTTTTTCGCGAATGGCGGTGTATTTTAGGTAAAGGTCATTGCAGCTGTAGTGGAGAATTAGACGATGATGAATTCTGCAGTTATATCATCTTGCAATAAAGTTTTGTTCATTGCGACATTGGGCAAAGTCATGCATATTTTAGCCTTTACAAACGGGCATTGAAAAATGACTCAGCTGCATGTTTTTGCCCAGCAAGAGCGTTCAGATATAGACGACAGATTTATAGTCACCGTTCTATGTTGCATCAGTGGTATTAGCTTGTATTTTTCTTTGATCTGAATCTGGACTAGTGGAAGATTTTACCAAAGCTGAGATGCAGTGTTACATTACATTGTTATCATTGTTCATTGTTACATCTATGCTGCATTTGATGGTATATATTTGGTTTAGACTGGCCGCTTCGACTTCTGACCATCCTCTCGTAAGGTGGTTCCAGATGCAAAGTAGCAGAGAGGTCCAGATAAGAGATAGGAACTAAAGTTTTTGCCCGGACACTGGCTCCGAACAATGGTCTCTTGGCGACTTTGAGAGACATTGACGCATGAAAAATAATCAGAATGAGGTGTATCGTAAAGGCTTGACCAAGAGGTGACCACGGGATAGGACTCTCGTACATGTTGTCACGCCTGAGTGATAAATTGTAAAGGATTGTTGTTACGATTAGCATTGGCCAAATGGCCTGATTATGTGCTACTTATATTCAAAGCTTGCTTGAAGCAAATCCCATTCACGGCAGAGTTGTGGCTCCAACAAAAATGGAGATAAAGTAAAGCGATATATACTTCATAAAGTTCCAGAGGTAATCTTACTATTTTGCGAGAGGATCATTTTCAAGGAGATCGCCAAAGACCATATCAAATCCGAGAAACATTTCAGAATCAGCGTTCCATGTAAATCGGGAACATTCGGCCGACTCATTTGTTCAGAAAACTATAATTTTAAGCCTACTTGAAAACGTGGTCATAGACTTAAATCAAATGTTAAGGATATTTTTCTGACGCGTGCATTCTGCGCATTAGTCACAGAAGCACCTGAATCTTGCATCTTTGGTTCGGTCATGCTCAAATAACCCCTTTTATCCGAAATTGTTTGTAACTTTCGTAAATTTTTTGCTACCACCGGCAAGTAGTAATACGCTCATGCACAATCGTTGGACAGGAACGAAAGAAAATGTGTTTCTGGTTTGAATGGGAGTATGGATCGTTCTTTTCACAGTCGACAAATTCGAAACGCGACCTGTCTGAGACGTTCGATGACCGTGTGACGCTATTCTGCTCATTTTCATAGCATGAATCTCTCCTCGACCATTTTGGGTTTGCTTTCTATTGCAGCTTATGGCGAAGCATTCAGAAGGTAAGCTGAATTTGTGGTAGACTCTTAATTAACAATGTAATTTTTATCAGCACTTTCTAATTGATCGATTGCGAAAATGGGCCAAGATAGATGTGTGCAAAACCAGCGGCCATCAAAACTTAAAGACTAATTCTATTAAATGATTTTCTATTTTTGGTGCGATTAGGTCTTGTCGTCGTGGTTTAACAAGTTCACGAAAAGGTCGGTTTTGGTGACTGCCATTCTAGACCAGAGCATATTTCGCAATACTGAGTTTGCGTAATATGGCCACCGATGATTCCTAAGGTCTGAAGTGTGTTAATATTCCGTGAAGTATTTCAAGAATTGTATACAAAAGTTTACTCATTTTAGAAGTTCCATAAACTAGCAAAATCAAAAACTTCGGAAAGCGTAAGACCCACCGGTGGGTCCTATCGTCATGAATGTGTTAACAAAAGGGATTTCCGAATTTCAAAGCGAGTGAAATGAGTAGTGAATGTGGTATGTGCAAAATCCACTGATTCAATGGGTGACAGTTCATTTACAATTTTCTACGCATATTACGCTTCGCATGGAGTTTTCAAGTTACTAGTCTCTTAATTTGTAGTAAGAGACAGCACCACAAAATTGAATATTCAATATCAACCTTTTCAGTAAGAACGATCACAAAATCCAGGTTGGCAGAAAAATGCTTTTGGTCGCTTTTAACGGTCTGTAAAAATGCCACGGATAGATCTGTGTATAAGAATATGGTACCATTCGAAATAAATCAAAGAGAGTCGAATGGTAAAGTTTGTTTTCTTGAAGAATCTTTTTTGATAGCGAGATGGTGCAGGAAAGCAAAAAAAACAGATTTTTTTCGTCAAATTTCCGAAAAATTATGCTCCCAAAAACCGTAATCGGGTGTAAAGTGCAAGAATGGTATGCACACTAAAAAATTGTATATTCAACTATTTGCATGGCCATAGATGGTCAAATTTAAGCGATTCAAATTGCTCCGAACCGACTCTTTACGCGCAGATACCTGGAAATCCTTTCAGTTTTGGTTACAAAATCACACATATAACAGATTACAGCCTCCATTGTGGTTTGCCATATAAGCAAAGGTTGTAATTAGTCAGCTACCAAATTACTCGTCTATGCACTTACTACAAATTGAGTACGAAACTTAGAAAGTCAAAAAAGGGATTTTTGGCTAGCGATCTAAGGTCATAACTGTTTTGATTACGTTCAAAATATCTATAACGAATATGTGATAATGGAAATATGAAGCTACCAGCTCATAAAAAAAATCACAGTCAAAAAAAGTTACTCGAATTTTTATGGAGCTTTTGCATGTCAGAACGAAATTATTCATTAGCCAATCTAAATACAATAATTTTCACATGTATCACTGTTTGGAAGGGGTTGATTGGACCGGGTCGTTGTACATCTCTCATTACTCTCCTCAACCAGAAGGCCAAGCTCTTTATATAGGAACAAACATTACAAACATATTTTAAATAACGCACGCACTACCTAACTGTTGACGATAGTTGTCACGATGATATCCTAATAACAAATGGCAAACCATAGAAATTTGGGACGAAGGACAACTGAGATTTTCGAAAGTTATTAGGAGATTAACTATGTTTTGCAAGTTTTTCCTTAACTTTCCTCTTTTGGAATACGGTGCATTCAAATTTGCAGTGATTGCACTAGATCGCAGTGGGAGCTACATAGGAGCACGTTTTTGTATAACGAAGTAAAAGCAGTTCAGCAGTTTTCCAAAACATTTGGAATTCCACTGATTTACAAGTAAAGATGAATCCGTTCACAGCCTAAATTGAGCTTATCGACCCAGAACTTTTGATGAATTCTTGTTGGAGATTAGCTTATAAAACAATGCGGAAAAGTAATAATAGACTGTTCGAGATTTGGTTCTCGGGAAGTTGCAGCTCAACGGGACTTGACGCTAACATTCGTCAAAAATCAGTGAAGTCACAGAGTTTGCCTAGACTTTGCATTATAAGGTAATTCTATATGCTGAAACGACTGTCATGTTCATTTGAAAAAAAGCGTAAGAGATTTTTGACTTATCTTAGAGCCATTATCGTGCAAAATGAGTATAATTTTCGTAGTTAGCATGCCGAGATACCTCCTAGACCAAGTTCAGCTGGAAGTGTAGCGATCTGCAGCGATCCGTAAATCTCTATGTGTACACCTACCGCAACCCTTACATGCGTTCCCAGAATTTGAAGATTGCTGTATTGTAGCTCACGCAATAGTCTAAGCACTGCCACATTTTGAGTGTACCATATGCAAAAAGAAAGACTCGCAGAAAAATTAACAAAATTCAAAGCAAAAATTAACAACCTAATAATTTCGAAAGCATATCAGGTTTTTGCGACCTACGCCTTCGATCAACGAACATTTCTGGACACCAAAAGAATATTTGATTTTGCTTTATAATTCCTTCTTGAAAGCTGTTCACGAGCAACAAACATTCTTCTACAGTAACTGGCAATAATAACCTTAGAAGATGATTGTATTTAGTCCCATAATCAAAAACTCCTATTATAAGCTTATTTTTTGCTAGTCTTGACTTTTGACTAATCATCAAAGCGGTGTAACCACTTTTATAGATCACTCTTGAATGTCACCTCTCATCGAAACTCTAACTTGACACTTCTCCGTGACATTTGAGTCCCAAAAAATGATTTACGCTAACCAAAAAGAAAAAGCGAGACCACACCTTGACGTTTGGCGCCTACTATCAATCTAAAATTTTATTTTCAATGATTGTAATCTTATTCTCAACTTCGTCACGTTTCATGTTTCATACGCTGCTGAACGGTATGACTGAGCAATCTGCGAGGCAAGAAAACCAGTACTCGTTTGATATTGCGCTATCGGTTACACGCCCGCCAACAGCAGTTAATTTCTTTGTAAAAAATAACCTGGCACCAAGGTTATCGTTTCGTGCTGTAAATCATGGATATTTCGCTTGAAAATTGGAAGTGTCGCAGAATACACAAAAACTGCTAAGTTCCAATTTGAACGTAGAACAGTTTTATGCTTTCTATTCAACGTACCTCTTTATGAAAACTTTTGCACTGAGCGGTAACATTTATTTCCTCGGAAAGCGCTCCCGACCACACAAAATCTACGAAGTCTTTGCTTCTAGGCCAAGACCAAAGAAAGGGAAAGGAGAAAGGGTTTCAAAATGCTGTTTACTCAAACGACCTTTTCCTTCACTGCATAGAAAGTTTTTTTAATGCCATAAAGACCATGCTGCCTCATCAACCGGAAAATATTAGGTTGATGCAAAAACAATGGCCGTTTCCCCAAGTCTTTTTCAAGACAACTTTTCCCATCACAATTCCTTCTTAGAAATAATCACAATATACCATTAACTAGATCTTTTCATGCTCTATGTATCAGTCTTACTGGTTAGCAGCATCATTTTCTAAAAAGTTACACACTTCAAATAACAGCATTCAAATCAGAATTTCGTTTGCATCACTTTTTTGGCCAAAATTTGAGCTCAAAGAGGATCTCCTCAAAAATTTAGCTACTTTATGTGAAAGAAATTGTCTGCATTATGCATACTTTAGCATTCTTCCAAAAATCATGTAGACCGAGATATAGGCGCCTAAACATGGATGATCATTTTGGTTATTCCGTGGCCCATAAATTTCTTCTGAAAAAAGCAGCCGCCAAAACTTTGCTCATTCGTAAGCGTAAGGGTAGATCATCCCGTTGACAGTTTTTACAAGAACTTTTATCTGTCCAGTACGCGGAAAATTAGCAAAAAAGTTGGTACTTTGAGACCTACTGAAAAATTTTGAAAACTGACAATCTTGAATCTCGGTTTTTTCCTTCTTTGCAATTTCTTTGTCTAGGCCTTTCCATTTCCTTTTGTTTCACTAACTACAAGATAGGCAACCCATCATTCATACTAACAAAAACTTTGAAGGGAGTTATGATCTGTCAAAAACAAGGTTTTAGAAAAAAAAATGTTTTTATTTTTCAATCCATATCGTTCTGCCCGTTCGTGACCTGAGTATAGCTCAATGTGCGCTGTGGTGCAAAACGTTTGCTGTTTCTGATTTCTTTTGCTGATTCGACAACATAGAATTTTTGGAAAGTTATAGCACGTCAAAGTGAGAATTTGCAAAATGGCCATTGTTTTTGCATCAGCCTAATAAAGACTTTTGAAGTTTCATTTTATAATGGGGAACTTTTTGATTTTTGTTTCTCCCTCTTCTTCACTTTCTTTACATGAATATGCTGTAGTAGTAAAAAGTTCAAGTCAACAAAATTGAATGTTTCCGAAGCGCTAATTTTGAAAAGGCACACTATTTAGAATCAAAGAAATAATGCAGTGAATGCAGAGCTTGCGATACAATCAGTCTACAACGACACATAATTTTCTACGTCTTGGACTACATCTATCATAAATAGGCACCTCAATTCTATTCTTGTGGAATCCTTGTGGCTTTCAGATTTTATCGCAAAGCTGAAGCGCAATAGAAAACGGTGTTCTCTGATCTTGAGTTGCCGTTAAATGCACTCTGGAACTTTGTAATATAGAACATTGTATCAAAAGCAAGGGCAAAAGCGTGTGGCACCCACGATCATTATTTTTAGCCACAATAAAAATGCCTGGCCGTTGGAAATCATCAAGAGTTTCATTTAAAATCAAATGAAGCGATGGATGCGCGCGCGAATTGAAGAATGGATTGATTTACCCTTTTTTGTGGGGTTCTACACTATGTTGGCTCAATGACACCCACGTATGTACCCTATAGCCATTGACGATAGAGTACATCCTAATGTACATGTGTTCCTCGTTTGCCGATATTCCACTTTGGCTGGGGACATGCCTCGCTGTCGAACAAGGATATCATGAAATATCACGATTATAAATTGATGAGTTACATGATAGTGTGAAATAATTGCAGATGCTTCGAGCCAATACTCTCCACCAAACGCTTAAAATAATAAGGCAATGAGCAATTTGACGGCTACTGTTTCCGAGTTCTCGCTCTCAGCATACCTCTGACCAGTTTTTTTTAATCTCGAAAAAGCAAGATCGATTTGCGCATATTCTCCACAGTGCCAATTTACTTTTATAGAATAGTTTTGGGTTCGCACAAGGAAAATCTCAAAATATTGATATATCAGTCGACTGATATTTTCCTCCTGCACGTATAGGTGTGGAAGGTCCGCTTAGCTTTGAATAAATTTTGTATTTGCATACGAGGGAACATACAAAGTACGCGGATTACGGATGCTCAGACCTGAGAAGACGCATCCTGTATCTTGAGAAGCCTGCTTTATATTCCTCTTTCACTTGTTATCGATGAAGTTTGTCTTATACATTCTATTCCTTTACCCTTCATTTAGGACTACTCTCAGGCAGTTTTGAAGGTATTAGGTTGTAGGGAAAGTTCTGCCAATTCTTATCGTAAATACCAAAAATGAATGCGAATGCATAGGGCTGGTTTGAAATGTGTTCTTGGTGTGCGATGGCCCTAGCTACCTAACACGCTATTCAGCTTGAAAAATGACGATCAATTAAGAAAAAATGCCCAAAAAAGGAGAAAAATCCGTTGCGCTCAGGTCTGGAAAAGGGATATTTTTCAGGTTATGGACGCGCAGAACTTCCAGAAGCTTGATTTGAAAATCCGTTTTATATTCTGTGTATTGGATAGGTGAAGCAATATCCGACTATTACTTGCCTCGGTACCCGGGCCTTTTTGCAAGCAAGATATAACTCCTTGAAATCAGGGATTAGAAAATCGAACTCTCCACATGTTTTGAAACGTAGCCAGCGCGCTTTTAGAAAAAGAGCGTCTATGACATATCTAATCAGTAATCTAAGGTTGTCAGTACACATGACCAGAATAGCAAAGCAATTCGCGTATGCTTTTCAAACGCGTGAAGTAAATATTTGGTTGGCTAAAAAAATTTAATTGTTTTTAAAGGTCTTTAGAAATGCCACGGGTAGATTTGGGTATATATGTATTATATTTCGATTGGTACCATATATGTATGGTAAAATTCGAAAGAGTAAATTTAGGAGGATTGGGCCACTAACTCTTTTTGCTGGAAAAATTACTTTTTTGATGGCGAAATAGCGCAGGGAACCAAAAGTAGAAGTAGTAGTAGTTTTTTGTCGGATTTCCGAAAAATTGTGCTCCAAAAAACAATCGAAAGTGGTTCAAAGTGCACGTATGATAGCACACATACGATTTTCCTATTTTCAAGCGTTTGCATGGCCATAGATGGTCAAATTCGAGCGATTTGAATTGTCCCAAACTGGCTTCTACGCGCAGGTACCTGGAAAATTTCACAATTTTGGCTGCAGAAATACACAAAAAGTAGATCATAGCCTCCACGATGGGCCGCGCTAACCAAAGGTTTCATCATTCATTCTATGACTAGGAAATGCGAGATCGCGTCACACTCATCGCCTAAACAAGCCTACTCTTGTACTTAGCATATACTTGTTGTTTATTTCGTCCAGGTTCATTCACTTTTTGAAAACAGGGAAGAACAAACTCAAACTGATCAAGACCATGTCCGCAATGCGGTCTCGCGTCTCCCAGTCATAGAATAGGTGAAGTGTATTTGATCGCTGAATTACACGTCTGTGCACACACTACAAGCTGAGAGCGAAACTCGGAAATTCAAAAACTTGATTTTTTGGAAGGCTAGCTATAGTAGGTCATAAATGTCTTTTAGCAAACTTATGAACAACAGGAAAAAGTTGATCCGTTGCCTTGCATTGGAGTACATTGCTGCACCGGAAGCACATAATAGAACAGCTTGTCCCTCTATGGAGGCAAATTGCATTTCCTGGAAAATTCTTTGAAGGGAAAAGTGAGGAGAGGTAAACGAATGCTAAGAGTATTGCTGCGTGTTATGGGCTAAGTATAGTATATGTAATCAAAATTTATTTCGATATTCTTAAAAAATAAATAATTTGCTATCAGTGGCGGTCGCAGGATTTCCGTTCGGATAGGGGGGGGGGCAGATTTTTTTAAAATGAAGGTGCATGGATTTAACCACGCACTCTTGAATAAAGGTGCACGGCGTTAACCACGCATTCCAAATATATTTTTAATTTGCTTCTCAAAATTTTTGCAGTTCCATGACCCCTAAATTCTAGAAAAAAGTTTTTGTAAGCTGATTTGAATTTTTAAAAAATTTTGAAAATCATTCCAACCAATTACAAGTTTGAACGAGTCACTTGCAAATTATAAGTTATGCAAGCAACTTTCAAAGATTTCGCAACCCATTCTTGGGGGGAGGGGGTACGAAAAAAATGTACAAGTGTTTCAGTGTTTCATTCTTGTGCCGGGCTGTTTTTTGATTATCGTAGAGTTTGCAGAACATATACAAAACAGTTCATACAAATTTAGGATCGTGGTGACAAAGTGATTTTTGAATTTTAAGAGTGTGAAAAGATCTAAAAAGAGTTCATAATTGTTAAAATCACACATACTGCAAAACATCTATTTTATACTCTTATAGATATGGAATTGGCGATAATGCTATAAACCTAATACTTGATTAAAGCTTAATGCTTCACACAAATTTCATTATTTCCTAAAATTACATGCTAGTCTGCCTACGGTGCTAGATATTACTTTATTTCCTATTCATTCAAAAAATAATGCGAAGTAGCCCCATTTTTCAAACATTTCCGCTGGTGTAATGCTCAAGAAAAGATCATGAGGTGATTTACTACGAATTAGAGGAAAGATTGTCGAAAAAGGGTCATCGTCTGTCCTTCTTTTTCCACTCATAATGATGAATCATTGTTTTTTCAACGGTGGCAATATCGCACAGCATCAAGGAAGAAAATTCCTGTCTTTCATTCGCAGTAAGGGAATGCGCGAACACATGTTTCTTGATTGGGACAGAGCGAAACTTGTAATTAATTGGATTATTTTTCAAAATTTTTTAAAAATTCAAATCAGCCTTAAATTTTTTTTTAGATTTTAGGGGTCATGCACCTGCAAAAATATTGAAAAGCACCCCAAAAATTTATTTGGAGTGCGTGGCTAACGCCATGCACCTTCATTTGAAAAAAAATTTGCCCGCCTTCCCCGTCCGGACGGAAATCCTGCGATCGCCACTGATAGCAAATTATTTATTACTTGAGAATTTCCCGAACTAAATTTACATTCACATATATCATGCAAAGCCCATAGGACGCTACAATTTTTTTAACATTTGTCTAGCTCTCCCCACTCCTCCCTTTTCCTTTTAAAGAATTTTCCAGGAAATGCAATTTGCCTTCATAGAAGGACAAGTTGTTTTATTATGTGCTTCCGCTCAGGGATTCGCGCCGTGCGGGCGGTCCTCCTTTGAGGGCTAGCGTACAAGCGGTCGGCATAAGTCTAAAGCTTCCGTGCGTGCGGCCAACAACTGAAACGCCGTCCTAGCGGCAGGCAATGTTACCGTGCAAACGGCATGCAATACAGTTGCTCTAGCGAGCGGCCTGCAATGCGTCCGTCTTATCGGTCGGCAATACCTGTTGCCGTGCAAGCGCTCGACAGTGACCTCTATTTTCTGCTCACTATTTTCACACATTGTGAGCGTAAACGGTGCCTGTATGAGATACGACGCAGTTAGGCTGGCTAAGCATTGAGATATCGTGTCGTCAACATTTTCTTTCATCAGCAAGGCTGGGTGGACCTGTGTGAGGCTAAAGTTATCAAGAGTGATGGAGTGGGCTTTCGCATGAAAAGTTTGGCCATTGCGGAAGCATCGATCCATGTTCCCGAAATGTGAAAAGGATTGATCTATCCAAGAAAAATGGCCAAGATATCCCATATACTTCTACTCCAACAGCAAGCGAGCGGCCGACCTTCCCCGCGCAAGCGGCGAACATTAGAGACCGTGCGGGCGCCCCACGTTAACCGTTCCAACGGCCCTTGACGACCGTACAACCGCACACACCAACGAGCGATTGTAAGGTCGTCGCTGGCCGCCCGCACGGCGCGAGTCCCTGAGCGGTGCAGCGATGTACTCCAATGCAACGCAACAAATTATCTTTTTCCTATTGTTGAAGGCAAACTTCCTAGATGCAGAGTAGCGTATAGCAGTCAATGAAAATTAATCATCTTTTTCACAGATGTGGCTGCGCGCACGGTCTTTTGCATTTTAGAGTCTGACGAATTTTGATTTCTATGACCGAAGAACCAATGAAATCTTCCCTGCCTTTTTCCTAGTATACCCGTGATGGCAAACGCAAGAAAAAGGGTGGTAACTACATGTTAAGGGACCGGTTGTCAGGTGACTCGTTCCTGTTTCCTCACCATATAATTGTCAAAAACGTAGTCCTTATAAAGATGTTCTCTGTGAGTAAGCCCAACTAAAGTTTTTTGGGTGAAAACTTCTTTTGCCCCATTCCTCCTAGCATGAAAAACTTTTGTATGCTGAGTGTGAGAGTGATCCTGCGAGACTCGAAACAAAAATTATGTGCCTTCACCAGCATGGAAACCGAACAGCTTATTATGAAGATGCCTTTTTGCGTGGTTTTATACTTCTCAAGTTGTTAAAAGACTCCAGAACATACTAAATTATAGTAGCTGAAAAAAACTTTGGACTGGAGGTCAACTTTTTTCAAATTACGCGCATTCTTTCCTTGTAGTAAGGCAGTTTTGGCAATGCAATGTGAAAGTTCTTATCTAGTATGGTAAAAATCATATTCATCAAAAAAGCCAAATTTAAGCTTTTTTCAGACAACGTCGTGGCGCCTACGCAACTGGCTACGGTCCTTATCGAGGAAGTGGCTATGGATACTCCACTGTCAGAGTCTACCATTATTATAGACCCTCGTATTTCATGCAATGCTGCATGATGCCAATGTTTCCGCTTCCTCCTCCTCCGCCACCTCCACCACCACCTCCTCCTCCTCCACCAATAATATGGAGAAGAAAGTTCATCATTTTCGAAGAAGATTGCGATCCATGCAAAGAAACGAGGTACGAACGCCCTTATAGCCGACCAACACCAGAAAGCAGTTACCAACCCCCTCCTCCGCCTCCATCTTCTGGATATGGAACTCCAGAAACCAACTACAAACCACCCTCACTTCCACCTGGGTATGGAACTCCAAAGCAGAAATATGAACCGCCTCCATCTCCACCTGGCTACAGCCCAGATACAGCTGCTCCAATCCAAGTGCCTGCTGCCGGTGAGCCAAAACCTGTTGCTGAAGGAACTCAAACTCAAGAATTAGAACCTGTAACTGCCAGTACTGAGGGCCCTGCGCCACCTGCACCATCACCAACAGATGCTTCGATAACGACAGAGCCAACTCCCAATACTGTACAAGTGCGAAGCATTCAAGAACCACCTCAAGAACCTCAAGGACCAAGCATAAATGGCCATGGTCCTCCAGGAATCATGCCCACCGGTTCTGTGACAGACATCCAACCTTTTCCAGACACAAGCGAATCTCAAGGGCCAGCTACCAAACTCGTTCAATCGCGCGGAATGCCTGGTTTTCATGTTATTTCATGAAAAAAGTTTAATAATTCAATAAATATTACTTGACATGGTGTCTGATTAATTCTAGGTGCAGCACTCAAAATTCATGCATTCTAATGTGTTTTCCTATTGGTATGACTTTTGTACAGGTGTATTCTTTTTGTGCCGAGAAAGTTAAGAGAAACTTCTGCCAAAAAGGGGACACGGTAGACATGGAAAAAAGTGCACACAACGGAAAGTCTTTTGGAAGTGTAACTTTCGTTACTGCAGATAACAAGTTTTTCCATACCTTGCTGTCATTTTTGTTTGGCAGGGATCTTCAACGTTCTCACTTCTTGAAGATGTTGTGTATGTCGTGTGTAATGTGTAAATTACTCAAAAAAAGAATAGCCTTCCAGGGAAGATCCCAGCAGAATAACGGAATGAGCTGAGCAGTGTGTGCGTGTGTGTGTGTGTGTATGTGTGTGTATGTGTGTGTGTATGTGTGTGTATGTGTGTATGTGTGTGTATGTGTGTGTGTATGTGTGTGTGTATGTGTGTGTATGTGTGTGTATGTGTGTGTATGTGTGTATGTGTGTGTGTGTATGTGTGTGTGTATGTGTGTGTGTATGTGTGTGTATGTGTGTGTATGTGTGTGTATGTGTGTGTGTATGTGTGTGTGTATGTGTGTGTATGTGTGTATGTGTGTGTATGTGTGTGTATGTGTGTGTATGTGTGTGTGTATGTGTGTGTATGTGTGTGTATGTGTGTGTGTGTGTGTATGTGTGTGTATGTGTGTGTATGTGTGTGTATGTGTGTGTATGTGTGTGTATGTGTGTGTATGTGTGTGTATGTGTGTGTATGTGTGTATGTGTGTGTATGTGTGTGTATGTGTGTGTATGTGTGTGTATGTGTGTGTATGTGTGTGTATGTGTGTGTGTATGTGTGTGTGTATGTGTGTGTGTATGTGTGTGTATGTGTGTGTGTATGTGTGTGTGTATGTGTGTGTATGTGTGTATGTGTGTGTATGTGTGTGTATGTGTGTGTGTATGTGTGTGTATGTGTGTGTATGTGTGTGTATGTGTGTGTATGTGTGTGTATGTGTGTGTATGTGTGTGTATGTGTGTGTATGTGTGTGTATGTGTGTGTATGTGTGTGTATGTGTGTGTATGTGTGTGTATGTGTGTGTATGTGTGTGTATGTGTGTGTATGTGTGTGTATGTGTGTGTATGTGTGTGTATGTGTGTGTATGTGTGTGTATGTGTGTGTATGTGTGTGTATGTGTGTGTATGTGTGTGTATGTGTGTGTATGTGTGTGTATGTGTGTGTATGTGTGTGTATGTGTGTATGTGTGTGTATGTGTGTGTATGTGTGTGTATGTGTGTGTATGTGTGTGTATGTGTGTGTATGTGTGTGTATGTGTGTGTATGTGTGTGTATGTGTGTGTATGTGTGTGTATGTGTGTGTATGTGTGTGTATGTGTGTGTATGTGTGTGTATGTGTGTGTATGTGTGTGTATGTGTGTGTATGTGTGTATGTGTGTGTATGTGTGTGTATGTGTGTGTATGTGTGTGTATGTGTGTGTATGTGTGTGTATGTGTGTATGTGTGTGTATGTGTGTGTATGTGTGTATGTGTGTGTATGTGTGTGTATGTGTGTGTATGTGTGTGTATGTGTGTGTATGTGTGTGTATGTGTGTGTATGTGTGTGTATGTGTGTGTATGTGTGTGTATGTGTGTATGTGTGTGTATGTGTGTGTATGTGTGTGTATGTGTGTGTATGTGTGTGTATGTGTGTGTATGTGTGTATGTGTGTGTATGTGTGTGTATGTGTGTGTATGTGTGTATGTGTGTGTGTGTGTGTGTGTGTGTGTGTGTGTGTGTGTGTGTGTGTGTGTGTGTGTGTGTGTGTGTGTGTGTGTGTGTGTGTGTGTGTGTGTGTGTGTGTGTGTGTGTGTGTGTGTGTGTGTGTGTGTGTGTGTGTGTGTGTGTGTGTGTGTGTGTGTGTGTGTGTGTGTGTGTGTGTGTGTGTGTGTGTGTGTGTGTGTGTGTGTGTGTGTGTGTGTGTGTGTGTGTGTGTGTGTGTGTGTGTGTGTGTGTGTGTGTGTGTGTGTGTGTGTGTGTGGAAAAGCTCATAGATGGCTGAAAAGCCCTGCCATTTTTTTATTGTAGTGAATACGCCAAGGAATGTTGAGAAAAATAAAAAATTGTTGAAACATTTATTCAATAACGGTCACAGTTACAACAAATTTTCTAACTTTCTTTTCAGATAGACCCAAAGCGGACTTCAAGGTATCAATGTAGAGATACTTATTGATTGCTGTTCGATGCTGTTTGCTGAAGATATGAAAATAACTCATACTATGCGCTGGAGAGTAAACTACCTGATGGCATAGTAGACAAAAAAATTAGCAGCAATGGAAATGTTGATGGATATTCCAGCAAGCAAATCCATACTGTCACTATATATGTGCAAAATGTTGTCGACAAAAAGGCCAAATCCAACAGCAAGTGAACACATTACTATAGTGAAACTAGTAACAATCAGAGAGCGGTATATCTCTTTCATATGAGGATCTGAGCGAATATTTTTAACTATGAAATTTGACACAAATCAAAAATCTTACTTATCGACTTCCTCCTCACTTTCACAAGGAAAATGACATACGTAACCAAAGTGAAAAAGCTCAGCGTGCATAGTATGAGCATGTATAGCGTTTGGAATTGACCGTGCATAGCATCCATTATGCCACACATGACTTCGCTGAAGTTACACAATTGAAGCGATTAAAGATGTATGATTACTACCAATAAGCTCATTGCCGAGCGTTTGCAATTTCGCTTCTTTGCTCTCAAAGTAAGCAAAACAAGATTTCAAGGTGCGCTTCTTGTTTTATTTTTATATCTTCCTCAGGGAACGGTCTACCACCTTATGTGACACGTTAGTAAGTCATATCACGGTCCCATAATTTATACCGTTTTTTAATTGTTCCCACAATAACCCATGATCTTTTGTTTCTCAAATAAGTTCTACCGCACTATTCGACTGAGCAATAGCTTTACAAGGCATTTGCTCATAGGTCGTTCCACATATTCGAAGCCAATCTTAAGATGATCTAAAATTCGAGAAAAATCGTATCTGCTCAGACATGTACTTCCCACATCGGTCACTTACCTGTAGATTTGCTAATTTTTTGCAGGGCTTAAAACAAAGAAAAAAGTAATCTGCATGTTTTTGCCAAACCTGCGCCTTATTCCTTCCACACAGGTGAGCCTACAGTACAAACTTTTAAATTCCGGAGTTTTGGTCTATTCTGGTGTACAGGGTGCGGCAAAAGTCTGGGAGCCTAGTACTTTTTCGTACAAAACGAGAAGGGAAGTGCCTAGAAACGAAAAATTTGGCGCACACATAATTCGAACCATTGCAGATACACCCCTGTTTTTGAATTGCAAAACTGCCTCTTTTGGCTTCCACGCAGCCTACAAAATTTCGGCGGTCCACCTGTCATGGCACGCAGGTAGTCGTAATGGAATTCGCCCCACGCCTTCAGAATAATTGCTTCTTTTACCTTAGCAAATGCGCAGCATGATAGAGCAAACTTTTGTCTACAACATACTTCCAAAAGAATTTTTTGCATTGCTTAGGAATAAAAATATTGGATTTTAAATTAGAAGCATGTGTACGTCGCATACCGGAATTTTCTACAATTGCGAGAATAAAAAACTTGAAAATATCGTTTAAAAAGTATAAAAAATGTTCCCATGGCCGAACTTCAATAGCATTTTAATTTAGAAGACGTAGCAAAAAATACAGCCTTGGTCCCTGTGCCTGTTGAGCACTCTATAGCTTTTAAATTTGTTCTGAAAACGGATTTCCTCTGGCACGTAGGCAACATTCGCAAACTTTTATTTTCCGTTCATGCAAGAACATCTCCTGGCAAAAACAAAACTAGGATACATTAGCGCAAAGCCTCTTCTATGTTGTGTGCGTCGGAGTTTTGTAAAATATTAACAGCATCTCTAGTTACAGCAAAAATTGTAAATACCAAAAATTCTGGTTTTTTTCGCTTTGCAAAAGTACTAGTTTGGTAATTATTCTTACAAAAACATATGGTAGCCATTTCCAGCCAAATATAGTGTATTTGTTGAGAATGACCGCAGCATCATGTGGCATAAAATTGAAATCAAAACCATCAGTATCTTTTTAATTGCAGTACTGCAAAGTTAGGCTCCCAGACTTTGGCCGCACCCTGTATGTATGTTTTTCGACCTAGCCATGGAAAAAATAAGCAAATTTACAGGCAAATATCAGATATAGAGAGTTCATGCTTGAGCACGTACACAGGCAGTGCGTAGAAAATTTCTTAAACGGAGATACGATTTTTTCTGACATTTGGGGCATTTAGATCTTCTTAGATTCCGACTTCGTACTTCAAGTAATGCAAACTTTGAGCATATGTTTGGACGTTATCTTGTAGAGGTCGTTTTGCTCTTTTGAACAATATTTCGAGATTATTTCAAAAACCAGAAGAATTTGAGTTAATGTGAGAAAGTGAATACGGTAAAAAAAGGGACAAACTCGTAGATTCATTCGAAATTGTAAGACAACTCCGTCATTTTCTTTTCCGTCACATAAATTTGGTAGAATTCTCCGAAAATGAGTTGCGGAAGCGGCTAGCTAAGAACTTTTGTCGCATCACACAACGGGAGTAAGCTTCAAAAATGTGGTTAGGACAGGAAGCGATAAGACCAAATGGGCGTCGCGAGATGATCTTTGGGCATTCACACAGCTCTTGATTCACTCACTTGAGGCTTTTCATCAATTATTCTTCTATTTATCATCTCCCACTCGGTTTGCACTTGTTGATATTTTTTTAGTCACTCTCTGGTCAAAAATAGGTCATCACACGAGAATGTTTGTCCAACTTTTCATGCTAGATTTGATACAAATTGGGGCATAAAAATCAGGTCTATTCAATAATTCAAAGTAAAATCCGGGCTAATTTGACGGTGAAAAGACAGAACACAGATTGCAATCATTTCTACTTCGATTAGAGATTCTGTTTCTAAACTTATAGTTAATTAAAAACAGCGACTCGTCTAGTTATCGAACCAAGATATTCTTTTGCATGAGCTAATCCGTATCGAAATTGTAGCTTAGAGAGTGCAAAAATGTCGAAAGCGGGCTTATCAAGCACCCAGTCTTGGGTGGTTTTAAGTGGGTGCAGAGGTCGCGAGCTTGAAACACAGATTCACCATGGGCCAGGGCATGACTGCGTGCTGTATGCGCACGCTTGCCTACACTTTGGAAATGCTGGTTGGGGGGGGGGGGGGTCCGGGGCGGTAAACAAGGGCCTTAGGTCTCTCAGAGCAATTCTGGACCTTGTACGTGCCTTTTTTGCTGCGCTCTTCACTGATTATTTAGTCGTGCGGCCTGCTGTTGCAAGATAACTCCCAAAACTCTCTATTGGCCGGGATGCTGTCTTCATCAAGGGAAGCAGTGGCGTATCGAGGACTTCCGTGGGGGGGGGGGAGGGGGAATTTTTTGCAGACACAAAAAAGCGACAAGTTTTTGGTATGCTTCCCTAAGATTTTCGCGGGATCATAACCCCGAACTTTCGGGAAAAGGGCTGTAGCTGAAGCCACACCCAAAAATTTTTTTAAGGCTATGACTTTTCAAAAATTTCAAAAAAAACTATTGATTATTTACAAGTGTAAACAAGTCACTTGCAAATTTTTATAACTCGTATAAGTAACCTCTGAAAATTTCGCGACCTATTCTCGAAAGGGAAAGGAAAGCACTGATTCATTGTACACATTTTAGACCTTTAATTGTTCGCTTCAAGATTAGTTTCTACTCATCCTTCTGAAAACAGAGAGCTTTTGATGTGGTCCAATATACAGAGTAAAAAGGGACGAGTGTTTGTTCTCTAACACTTTGACGACAGTGCCGCGCAATCGTAAGCGATAGCGAGTTTCCGCCCACTCCGATGCCCTCTACGCATGACTGAGGTCGTCGCTGACCACTAAACCAAGACAAAATTGTCCAGCCAAGTCTACCCTCGTTGACAAAGCTTCGCTCCGTCACTGGCAAGCTCCGCGCACTTGGCCAAAATTCTTTAAATTGGACGAATTTCAAGTATTCGTGCAACTACGGACAGTTCTGGTTGAGTGGCATACACACAAATGCACACAAATGCACACAAACCGTTTCGTTTTAGTACTAAACAAAAAAAGTTCGTCGTCAATGTGATAACTTTTGCGTCTGAAGAGCTATTCTCATTAGGCATCATATTTTGAAAGTAAATAGCATTTGAATCGGCAAAAAACTGACCACGTATCTTTTTATCATAGGAAATACTATTAGGGTAATCGGTAAAAAATGGGGCACCTAGAGAATATATGTAGATTTCTCAAAAAAGAAAAGTGATTCAAATTTCCAATTTTGATAGATGTTAGAATAGATTATTCTCTTTTAGAAAATACCTATATAAGATCATTTACTTACCTAATAATTTTTATAGCGGCTGAAATGCAAAGTTAGTCACTTTGACAAATTATAAACTTCGGCCAGTATCTGCGCAGTAAAACATGCGAAACCATCCAAAGTATTACTACTGCAATGCGTGAAGGTACAGTCACCAGACCCACGATGAGTTGCTGGCCTCAACTTTCAAATTCAGGAGATATGGCCGTTAGCAGCTTTGAGAACAAAGATACGTGCTATTCAATTCTTTGCAGGTAAACGCATGTTCTATAGGTACCACTGAAAGAGCTTCTTACGCTCTATCCATCCATATGCAGCTTACCTTATAACTTATCTAATTTCGGAAAATACAGATTGAAACTTAATTTAATGGTTTTTGTTGCGCCAAAAAATCGCGATTTTCAGGTATTTCGCTTTTTTACCCAGAAATAGAAAGAAATCCTGTATGTTTGATATAATGTTTGAAAGAGCATGAAGAACTCTTTCGAATGGTGTATGAATTGCTCTATAACTTTACGGTATGGCAGCGCAAGAATGAGCGATGTTCAAAAAACCTTGTTCGAGTTCTTCAGGGCGCCCGCGTAGGGTTGTGGGAGACGAGCGTTGACGCTTTGCCAGAATAATAGGCGAAGGTCGCTTATATAGGTGACGCTTACTTTGCAGACTGCTTGTTGTTGATCGAAACAAAAAATCTCAAAATCTAATAAAAATCAAGCTGCCCCATTTTTTACCGATCACCCTAATAATTTCTAGCATGATCCATGCGGGTTAATGGTGAATGCAAAACTTGAAAAGTTAATGGAAGCTTTATTAGAAAAGCTTTTGAGCCCTTCCCATAGATAGCTTCGTAACTTTCAAAATGAGCAACTCTTGCTAAAAAGCTTATTCTTACAGTCGTTTCTATTGTAAATTCAATCGAATATCGGATATCAATCGCGCATAGTTGGTAGACGTTCATCCCTACAACTTCCAGTGAATCTTGCTCTCTTCTAAGGCAACTGTTCAGCCGGGGTCACGTCAGCTAGCTTTTACCGGGAGGCTCGCTGACATCCAAAAACAGGGTCTTCATTAACTTTAGAAGAAGTACGATTCTACAGATTGTTATGGACATAGCGCTTTTTCCTTTGATATGCTGCAATTAATGGCTACATCGTAATTATGGAGCTTCGGTAATTGTCTTGTTTAGTTTTGTCTCCCATTTATATCTCTTCTTCCTTCTGTGACTGAGGATTGGCTGGTTCTTTGTCTTAATTCTGTGTTACCTTGATTTTCTGTTCGATTTTGATTTTTTTTATGGTGCACCGCGAGTGTATGCATAAAATAAAAATAAAATAAAAAATAAAATAAATCATTTTCCCAGGACAGCGCATGGCGCCGCAGCTTTCTTCAGCGATTCGACAACATGCAGTCAATTTTTGACTTTTTGTAGCATGTATACTCTAAAAATGTTGCACTAGGCTGCTGCGTACCAAGAGTTTTTCTTGAATATCTTTTGCTCCCATATCTTTCGCCCATTTTTATGAACCATTCTGTAGGGGTGGTTTCAGTTAGATTTACAGTACTCAGCGAATTACTGATTGCTCTTTGTTGTTGGATTGGGGTGACAAATTAGAGAAGTGGTTTGCCGATGCCTACACACTAAATATGCTCTATTATTTGTGCTTTAGCATCTATGACCGAAGTCTATTTGTGGCACTTGTGATGACCCCTACATGCACTACTGTGCGCTCAATTTTTCAAAAGAGCATGTAAGTGCTCTAGTGATTAGAGCTAAACAAAAATCAAAGCAATCACTCTGAGTTCTGCAAGGCATATGTGCAGATAACAGTAGCTGTTGCGAAAGTAACGGCAATTCCTACTTGTGAAGAAACATACAGACGTTTATGACTCTTCGCGAGTATATAGCTGGAATGGTAGATCTGATAACTATCATAAGTGGAAGCAAAAAATCACTTACTAAAACACATATAACGACATCAATCTGTCAATGGCAACAGTGAAGATAAGTATTGCAGAAAATGCTCCTCCAAAAAGTGGAAGAAATTGCAATTGAATGCATACATAACGAGGTACCATTTGATTCGGTGAGCTAAAGTTATTGACTCAAGAAGAGTCAGAGTTTCCAAAGCAAAGTTAGTTCATTGAATATCACAAGAAGAAAAAAGTCTAACTGAAAAGCCTGTTGTCAACTTACAAGTACTGCACTGAGAGCATCATATATTGAGAAAACATGTGTAATACATCGCCCCCGCATATTAGCGCAATAAAAATGTTGCATGCACTTCGAAGGCTTCTGAAATGATGATGTCAAGTGTAAATCTAAGCTTTCGACTCTTTATGGGCCAACTTGGCAGAGCTTGGCAAGCTCCTGGACTTCGCAACACTATTATGAAATTCCTCTGGGGCTCATTTAAAAAAAGACAGAAACACGGATAGAATACCAAAAACGCTCTAAAAACATGAAATGAGACACTGATGTTAGTATTGTAATTTCTGCGGCATACTATGTCCGACACGCACAACCACTCGCTTAGACAGCATTGCTGACACCCATTTTTAGGGCTGTAGCTAGGTGGAAGGGGAAAGGGGAGGCGGTGTGGGAACCGGTTTATAGGAATTAGAAATTGACAAAAGTCAGTAGAAAAGATATTAAATATCATTTTGTGGTTTTATATATAAAGATGAATGCCTGTATGTTTGTATGTATGCTTGTGTGTACGTATGTGCGAAATAGAAATTTTTATTTCTCGCATACACTTCGGGGCAGGCAGCGTATCGTAGACTTTTCGTAGTCGTCATCACCCCACTAGTCGGTCGGTGGTCGAAATCGAATTCGAATTGGAGCAGGCCGGCCGCGGCAGAGCGCCGCAGACCGCTCCTCAGCCAACCGCTTGCACATGAGCTTTTCTCTTATTTTTTTCGTGTTGCTTTGATATCTCTCGTATTGCGGTAATGTTCTTAATTAGATTTTTAGACTTCGTACCGCTAACTATTGTTTTGTGCACTTGTGTTCGTTTGTTTTACATTTTTTTTCCAGGTAAACTGGAAAGAAGGATGCGAGTGGAGATTTTTGGATGAGAAATCTCTTTTTCGGCAAGTGGCGTATACACAAATGTGATTTAATGAACTGTGTCAAGTTTTTCGGCAAAATGTGTACTTCTAACTTTTTTTTGCGATAGGGCTTAAATTCTCTCAAAAAGTGTTTGCTTCAAAGAGTTAGCGGTACGAAATTTAAAAATCTGACCAAGAACATTGCCGCAGTACAAGAGATAGCCGGCCTGCTCCAATTCGAATTTGAATTCGATTACCGACCGACTAGTGGGGTGAGGACGACTGTAGCCCACGACACGCTCCCTGCCAAGAATCAAGAAAGATCGATAAATTGATCGCTATCGAATTTTATTGTGCAGAAGTTCAAGCAACGGGGCTGGAAGTTGGTAGAGGGGGGAGTGGTAAGATAGTAGAGACATACCATCTGGCAGGTTGTAACCATCAAGGTTACATTAGCTCCCAAGGGAATGGTCAGAAATCGAAGAGGCCAATCCAGTCAAGCTGCATACCTTTAGATGCAGCATGATGCGCTGACTCTAAATCTGTTTTCTTTATCTGCTTATGGCTTTTCTGGACGAGGTTATAAGCCATTGAAGACCATTATTTTGCTTAGAAATTATGCGTGAAATTGAAAATTTAGCCGTACAGAGCCTCGTTCGCCTCAATGTTGGGGCCAAAATATGCAACTAGTTTACTTAAAATTTTTGAAGCCAGAAGCCGAGCTAGTGCAACAATGTGCTCAATTTCGCTGTTTTTATGTATGATTTCTTTGCAATAAAACCGCTTGTAGCTTCGTCCACAGAAGCGGGAAGCAGATAAGGAAGACAGATTCGAAGTCAGCGTTTTATACTGCATCGAATGATATACAGCTTCTTTGGTTTGGTCACTTCGACTTCTGACCATTCCCTCGTCAGTAAAGGTATTCAACTTTGAATGCTGTACCATCCTAGTTTCACGAGTACGAGACGCGCCGCTGACTCGCCTTGCTCTGTTTCGGAGGACGAAACTTATGCCGCACGAACGATGCTCTTTGGCAGTACGCAGCACTGTATAGCATTTTTTTGGTCGCGAAAATTTGGCTATGTTTGAGCTGGTCGAATAAAAAATGGGCGCTTCCTCTACTTGTAAACTCAGGGTATTACATTTCGCGTTGATTTGGTAGTATCAAACTGCCCTTTTAAGCTGGTGACTATTGACCAACAATAAGATCATCATTTCTAGTGATGTTTTTGTATATATTTGTGTTGCGTTCGTTTCTCGTAATTCAATGATGACTATCGCTTAGACTTTTTAACTAGTGGTAGGCGTACTTCTGCGCGATAAGTTCAAATAAAAATAACATTGCTTGCTGAAAGTTCTTAAGTTCCTGTAATCATGCTTGAATGAAGAATGATTTGCTTCATGTTGTGAACTAAGCGGCGCTACAAATTGAATTTATTGTTAGAGTTTGGAGAAAGACATTAAAGCAAAATCGCGTAATGATGAGACAGTGTGCACATTTCCAGGATACCTTGCAATTGATAAGAAGCTGCAAAACGCTGAGTTAAAAACCAAAACTTAGCCCATTTTTGTCACTTTCAATGACGACAGTGTGCTGTACAAACTATCGGTCACCCTATACTCAACCAATGTTGCGATACCTCATCTACATAAAGGGCAGTTCACCATTGCACAAATAAACACTATGTGACGGATTCCGGCAATTCTTAAGAAGCATGTACAGCAAGAAAAATCATTGTACGAAAAATGCTAAGTCTAGCACACAATCGATACATATTGCAAACTCTGCTGAAAACTTTTGCTTGGAAGAATTTTCAAAAACTGTATACAGACGCAAACATCTCGAGCAAAGTCTTTACTACTTAACGCTGCAATCTGGCTTTATATACCTTTCGTAGAGGTGCATTTCAAGGACCTAAATACTAACAAATGATTACATCCTAGACTTGCACATATAAAAAAGAAATTCGTTTTTTACTAAAGCCTTTTGAACCTCATTTCGTTGAAATTGTGCAGTGAGATGTCCTTTTCTTATGCAGCTCTCAAGAATTTACTGCTTTAATGTTTTCCGGCAGCTCTAGAAGAATTTCCATTCAATCAATTTACAGCTTTCTCAAGCTTACTGTAAATGTGTACTTTTCAGGTTCAACCAACCACCTTCCATCTTCTCAAGCTAACCGTGGATGTAATACTCTTTTCCTGATCAGGTTTTCAACGCTTAAACTAGAGAAATGCCTGCTATAAGTTGGAGTGCAATCAAACCGCTGATATAGCCGCATGTATCAGATCAGAGAAAAAATGACTACTCATTAACTTTGCGTAAGCCGTTTGTTCATATTTTGCATCCATAAGCTTATTACTACTCTCGGAAGGCTGATGTAGAAAGCGTTTTCAATTTTTCACATTTCATACAATACTGCAATGGCCTCGACTAAAAGCGTATATCTTTTATGAGAGCCGTCTATAAGCTCTGTGATTTGCGATTCGTACACGGTAGCTGGTAAAATTGCGCAGTTCTGAGCATTTTATTTCAAGTTTACTTAACAACATGATGCCTGGCAATGCTTAATGTTGTTACCATCTAATCCGCAGAAAGAGTGATATTTGAAGTGGCAAGAAACGTTGTATCGTAAAAAAACAGCTGCCATCCGAGTTTTGTGGTGTTAGGATAAAAGATTGATGAAGCTACTTAATTATTTGTAGATATGATAGGGCAGCACGCTTATAGTGTTTGCAAATGAATGGGACAGAGATACGCTTTTATAAGTATACACTTCAAAATGTTATAGGTATTTCAATGATCGAGGCAAATCTTGGTGCTAAAGTTTAGTTGTCATTTGAAAAAAGTTGACATGCCTTATTCATGACAATGGATAAGTAGATTCTAGCTATTGTTTTGAAAGTTTCTCAAGGATTGTTGTGAAAAGATGTTCTGTTTTCTGACACAGCATCTAAAGTGATTTGATCACTATCATGTGCAAAAAAGATTTCACAGATTTCCGATACAGGGTATTCCAGTAAATAACCTTTTCTGCTTGAAGTTATTCCTGTTTTCTGCCAGAAAATGCAAATGATAGCTTAGTGACATGCGAGAAACTGACAGTTCAATTAGAAAACATTGTATTACCAATATTGCATTCATAAGAAACTGGATATAAAAATCGAAGAAATTAATTGGGAACTCCGCCCCAAATTGAGATATTGGTAGCAGCAGTACGGAAACAGATTAGCGGAATGTGTCGGAGCTATGGGTATGCAATGACTGGTGGAGGTGTTCAGATTGCTAGGCTGGTAAGAATATATATTAAATGAGTCTAAATATGTGAATAAGGTGTTTATTATACTGTACTGTTCGTTTCTCGTTCTTTTGTCAACATGACAGCATTTTTCTTGGCAAAGTTACTTTCAAAGTTTTGCACTCGTTTATCTCATATACTTATTTCGTTTTCAAACTATTTATTTCATCGAGATTCGTGCATTACAGAAAAGCAAACAAGTCCAATAAAGATTACCTGGATCGGCTAGTCACATACACTATGCAGGAATTTCCAATAATGCTAATCAGCGGCACAACAGTGTAGAATATTTGGAACAACATAGGAATTTGGGACTCCATTTCCTCTGTCGGCTGAGTTAGATAATGAAAAAGCAGTTATTTTGAAGCTTGAGGAGTCATCACAAAAATGATAATATTTTTGTTATTGCAATGCTCTTGCAAGAGCCTCAAACATTGATAATGAGGTGACTGTTCCCAAGACAGTTGATTCTCCTTCATCGTACTACACACATATTAGCAGCTCAGGGGCGAATAACGAAAGATTTGAATTTGAAGGCGTTAGCTCGGCACAACACCCCTCTCTTTTAGAGCAGTATGTAGTAAACCCTCCGAGTGCACTATGGCCCAAGCACCTGACATTACTCTCCACACAGCAGACTGGCCTAGGCATGGCTGGTCATATTATTTCTCAGCCAATTCCAGTTTGTTTTTTGCATAAACTCAGGTCGTTTTTGCTGGCAAACGAAGGGCATGGGGACCATCTCCATTCATATTCATACCACTGTTTCCCCGCATATAATTATTCATACCTATAGTTATATAACATCCATCGTCCACGCAGGCTCCCCTTACTACCCTCTTACTAGCCTGTAGAACTGACTCCAACTGGCGTCATGATTGTTTG